CAAATGAATTCTATGCCGATTGAATAGTAGCTCTCCATTTCCCCTCCCCTGGAAACCACCATTCTACTTTCTGCCTTTATGAATGTGACTATTCTAGGTACCCCACGTAAGCGGAATCATACAATATTTGCCTTTAAATGAGATAACCAAGAGGCAAATATTGTATGACTCCAACTTACATGGGGTACCTAGAATAGTCTTCAAGTTTCATTCATGTTGTAGTATACATCGATATTTCTTCCATTTTAAGGCTCAGTGATATTCCATTGTATGCATACACCCTAGTCTGCTTTGTTTGTATAAACATATATATTTACATAAATGTATCTGTCAATAGGGGCTTTCCTGGTGGCTCAGCAGTAAAGAATCCACCTGCCAATGCAGGAGACTTGGGTTCGATCCCTGGCTTGGGAAGATCCCATGGAGAAGGAAATGCCAACACACTCCAGTGTTCTTGCCTGGAAAATCCCAAGAAGAGAGGAGACTGGTGGGCTAAAGACAGGTTGCAAAAGAGTCGGACACGACTTAGCAACTAAACAACATCTGTCAATGGACACTTGGGGAGCTGCCACCTTTTCAGTTCTTTTGGATGAATACCAGAAGTAGAATAGCTGGAGCATATGCTAATTCTATTCACATTTTGAGGAACCACCTATTGTTTCTCACAGTCTACTCATTTTATTGGCTGTATAATATTTCATTTTCTTTCCATGCCCTAATACTAAACCACTCCAGAAGTGTTTCCCGAGAAATCTCAAGTTTTCATTTTCTCTGTTGGATGGACATTAGTTCTGGCTTAGACAATGCTTCAGGTTTTTTTGCCCCAGTTTAAAACTAATTCATAGACATACATTTTTACTGAAATGGAACAGGACCCTATGGTTCTTGCCCCCCCCCCCGCCCCTGCCCCGTGTCCTCTGCCTGTCTCATCTGTGGAGACTTTAGTCAAAGAATATGTTTGATCAGAGAAATGAGAACATGCAAAACAAAGCCAAGAAAACAGAAAAACTGTCAAAGACCAAATAATAATAACGTAGTCATTTCAGTTCAGTAGCTCAGTCCGACTCTTTGCGACCCCGTGGACTGCAGCACACCAGGCCTCCCAGTCCATCACCAATTCCCAGAGTTGACTCACACTCATGCCCATTGAGTTGGTGATGCCATCCAACCATCTCATCCTCTGTCATCCCCTTCTCCTCCTGCCCTCAGTCTTTCCCAGCATCAGGGTCTTTTAGCATAGTCAAAGACCTTTAGTTCCTTCTCAAGGGCTATCAATAATACTGTGAGCCATATCCAGTGAGCTGTCTTAAAAGCAACCCCCGTCCCCACCCTGCAAAGGTGAAGAAGTTAACTACACGATGATCGGGCTGCACCTGTGACATAAGCTGCCACAGTTCCAAGAACTGGCCTCAAGGACATGGAAACAAACTGACCCTGGAACTGAAGAATTAACTGTACAATCAAGATGAGGCTGGTCAGACCACCAATGATCAATCTGAAGATGACTGTCAGAGCTGACTGTGCTGTTTCTGCATGGAGCCCACCCCAACCCCCAACCCTGGTTCGAAAAGCTCTTGAGCAATTGATTGTCAGGGCAGAGAGTTGGCCTTTGGACAAACACCTGCCCTCCCTACTGGTTTGCCGATATCTGAAATAAAACAAATCTTCCTTTCCACCAATCTGGCCTGCTTATTGGCAGCTGCCCCCCACCTTCTGGTAACATTACCTCTGATGGTTGATAACTGTTTTTGCTTACTGCCACCTCAAAATGACTCTTCTCAAGGACATGCCCCATTGATGGGAGTAAATCCTCTCTAGCCTGACTTCTGCTTTCCCATGTGGGGGCCGCTAGCAAGTATTTAAACTTGAGTCAATTAGCTGCTAAGTTCGCTTCAGTCGTGTCCGGCTCTGTGCGACCCCGTAGACGGCAGCCCACCAGGCTCCCCGTCCCTGGGATTCTCCAGGCAAGAACACTGGAGTGGGTTGCCATTTCTTTCTCCAATGCATGAAAGTGAAAAGTGAAAGTGAAGTTGCTCAGTCGTGTCAGACTCTTAATGACCCCATGGACTGCAGCCTACCAGGCTCCTCTGCCCATGGGATTTTCCAGGCAAGTGTACTGGAGTGGGGTGCCATTGCCTTAAGTGAAATAAAATTAAAAACTCATTTTCCCAGTTGTGCCTGACATATTTCAAGTGGATGACAGTCACAAGGAGCCTGTGCTACTGAGTTGGGTGTCACAGATACAGAACATGTCCACCATCTCAGCTCTATGGTGAGCGCTGCTCCAGACTGTTTTTGACTCTGAGCACTTCGTTCCAGCTGAATCAGAGCCTATGAGTTACTCCCCCAAATGATTAAATCCTAGGAGAAAGGCCAATGATAAACACATTCGGAAGAAAACACCATAAACTCTGGAATGTGAGTTTCATCATTCGCCATTGGGAATACCCCTTCCAGTGGCTGGGCTACCCCTGCCCGCTGTCTCCCAAGTCAAGTCTTCTTCAGAATATGAATTCTTGGTCTTAAGTTTGTTACTGACGGTCACCGAATCCAAGCGGGGTCAATCCCGTTCCTTACTTTTCCCTTAAGGTGTTTGGAACTGGGAGAGGCTGTCAGTCAGGGGGTCCTCTAGCCGTTTAGAACTATAAATTCAGGAGAAGCAGTCATATCCCACTATGTAAAACTGAGCTGCATATAGCAACGGGAAGAAAGCTCAAGCGGGTAAGTGGAGATTAAACTGCTTTGGGCTTTCTTAATTCTGGGTTCAGATTCCTTCCTTAGGACCATCTACATCCTTGCCTTTGGGTTACAGCAGAAAAGTTTGCATCCTAACAGTGAATTCATTAATGCTTAAGCTAGCTCCAATGGGCTTATTATCTGGGACTCAGACTCCTAATACACATGGATACATAGACTACACATATGGGCATTGACATACAACACAGAGGTGTGCGTAGTTCTATACGAACTTTGCATTAAGTCATTGCACTGGGCCCCAGACTACTTCTCCTCTTGTTTAACTTCCTTCTCACTAAAAGTGTGCTTAGGTTGTCCTCTGTTGTTTTTTTAATTCTTTTTCTTCCCTTGATAAAAATATGCCTTCTGCAATTCTGGGTATGGAAGCTTTAGGAAATCAAGTCCTGTACTACTCTTAATGATGGATTTAAATCTTTTTTTTTTTTTAATCTTTTTTTTTTTTTAATGTAATTCTTTAGCTTGTATTGCACCTTAATCTCTCAGGCCTAAGTAATTCAGTCAACATTCATCAACGACTGAATCAGTAATCCCTCATAGGCCAGAGCAGCAAATGGTGAGTGTTAGGATCCCACAGGACCAGAACTGAGTGGGTACCTCTGCAAGTCCCAGCATGCTACTGCAGATGAACTGATTAGGAGAAATCTCCTCTGGCAGGAGGAAAGAAGATGAGGAGTCAGCTAAGAAAGAAAATCCATGTATATCCATGGCTGATTCATGTCATTGTATGCCAAAAACCACTACAATACTGTAAAGTAACTAGCCTCCAACTAATAAAAATAAATGGAAAAAAAAAAGGGTTTGAATAAAAAAAAAAAAAAAAAAAAAAAAAAAAAGAACACAGTAACAGCACCCGATGGCAAAGGCACACCCCATGTCCTAGGCAGGAAAGCACTCAGTGTGGTCAAGGAACAAAGACCAGAGTGGCAGGAGGAGACAGCAGGGGGAAAAGTAGTGTGAGCTGACAGGTAGGGCCTTTAAGCCAAGGTAACCGGTTAAGATAAAACTGGGAAAGTCTTAAAAAAGATTTTAAAACGGGAGTGAGCTGCTCTGATTTGTGTCTTAAAAAAGGATTACCCATTCTGGCTAGTTCGGAGAAGTAAGGATAGGGACCAGTTTAGGAGGCTACTGTAGTTGTTGGCAAGAGATCACAAACGGCTTAGCCTATGAGGATGGGAAGCAAAAGATGCTCTGGGAGGTATCTGAGATTTTTCAAGGTGGAAACTAAGCTCTTACAAAGTTTTCCATTTTACCTTCTAAGTAGCCAGCAGCCATATTAAAGCTGTCAATGAAGAAGACACAAAAACTACTAGGCCCTACCAAGTTATGAAGGGTTTGTCTTCCTGTTTCACAAGGCTCTGGGCTCAGCTCTTACCTCGATTCCAATAATCCTCTAGAGAAAAATCCCGCAGTCATCTATCTCCCTTTCCTTTGATGAGCAGCAACTGCTGAAAAACGACTCCCAGCAAAACGACAGTGGTGTCTGGGGTTCACTGATACACACCTAACTTTTCATTTAAATGCTCACTTTTAATTTGGTATGTGTTATCTTACATCGCATCAAGTGACAGAGGAGGCATTTTGCTAGCAGCATCTCCTACTTCATCTAGAAAAACTGTATTCACCACCTGATTCTCAGCAACCTGGGGAAAAATTCCTTTAGAATAATTCATCGTTCACAGAGGACGGGTGCCCTTTCGCCTATGCAGATCTCCTGCGTTCTGGGCACCGCTTCCCGCCGCGCAGACAAATGCACTCATTGTCTGCACCACGCCAGCCCCCCCTCCCCTGGATTTTATGCAGCTTGCATTTCCTGCACCGAGAAGCTTGGCTGCAGGCGTGCTTCCCTCGTTCCCCTGCTCCCGCCCGAATCCCAAGCTTTTGTTTCTGAAGGTTTTCTCCCGACGCTATTAAAAATGCTTGGGCACATCGTTCCCAAATAAATGACCGACTAGGAAGTTTTCTGGCTGTTAACCTCGAGGCCAACGTCCAGTAAAGTTCTGAAAAAAATCAACTAAACCTCGTGTAAAGAGGCCAGTCCCTATGGAAACAACGGAAACGTGGATATTATTGCCTAAACTTGCCGGGAGGCGGGATTTAGGTTTTTCTTAAGATAAACGCTTCGCAGTGCACCCCCCTCCCCCCCACCCGCAAGGACTCTCCAAAGCGCTGTAACCCGCGTTCCCGCAGCGGCGAGGAGGTGGTGTATGCGGGGACCAGGCCGGGGGGGAAGGGGGTGTCACCCAGTGCAGTGGCCGCCGCCTCTTCCGCCGCCGGGCTCCGGGCCTCCGCATCGACAACATGGAGGCTGTGAAAACCTTCAATAGCGAGGTTGGTATTGCAGTCTTCGCCTCCCCTCTCCTCTGTTCCTGCCCGCGCTCCCCACCCCGACCCCCGACCCCCGACCGCAGACCCCAGATCCGGGACAAGCCCGCCGCGGGAGGGCTGGGCTCGGGCCCGCAGGGCTTTCTCCAGGGTGGGGCGAGCGGCGGCCTGGCCGTGCCCGTGGGGGAGGGGTGTCTCTCCGTCCCGGCGCCCCTCCCCCGATCCCGGGGTGGTGGTGGGGGCGGGGGAGGTTCCGGTGTCTTCAGCACCTACTCCCGAGTGGCTGCGGGGGTGGAGGGGGAGGCCCCCGGTTGGGCCCTCCCCCGGAGGCTCCCGACAGGTCTCTCTGCGGGTCAGTTCCGCCGCGGCCTGGCCCGCCCACCTCTTTTCCTGGGCCTGCGGGATTTTTAACTTGGAGGCCAGGCATCCCTGTTTCAGGCCTTTCCTTGGTCCTTCATGAGGCAGGCACTGATGGGGGTGGTGAGGGTTGGTGGGGGGTGGAAGTGCTGGAAGAGCACCCCCTGGGATGATCGTCTATGGGCACATTGCAAGCAGTGTTTGTTTATAACCGAGATATTGTTGGCTAGGTAACCTGCCAGCCGGGGACTTAAGCTTAAGGGGATGGTTGGTCTGGAGGCGAGGTTATTTCTGCAAATTTCCCCTTGTCCTTACTCCACCCCCCGCCCCCAACCCTTCTTATCATCACGACATAAAGCAGGAGAGCAGTGCATGCCGAGAGGAAAGATGGGGGAGAGGCATTTCCCACGGGCTCCTTCACTTGTCATACATAAGACTAGATTTTAAATAAGCAGCTGTCCAGTTTTCACTGTTTGATTGAGTTTGCTAGTCTGAAGGGAGACACGTTTCGATAAAAATAGTCGTGTCCGACTCTGCTATCCGTGTGCTGTAGCCCACCAGGCTCCTCTATCCATAGAATTCTCTCCAAGCAAGATTACTGGAATAGGTAGTCATTTCCTTTTCCAGGGATCTTCCCCACCCAGGGATCAAACCCGGGTCTCCTGCATTGCAGGCAGCTTCTCCAGGGAAGCCCTAAAATATTTTAAAACCTTTTAAAACTCTAATGTGAATTTACTTTATTAAACAAACATTTACCAAGTAGATGTCTACACAGCTAGAGTTATCCGTACTTGTATGCCTTAGATACAAGTATTTTAATATGATGTTAATTAGAGATGCATCAGTTTTATGAACTTTTCATGTGGAGACGCTAATACTCTGTTCAATAGAGTATAATCTGATAGTGATGTCTAAACAATTTTATTTTTCTTTTCTTCTTCCCTCCCTTCCTCCCTTCTGTCCTTCCTCCCTTTGGAGAATTAGCATTTGAGAAACTTAGCAGAGAGGCTAAATGTCAGATCTAACAATCACGGGAATTAGACTTTCCATATTAAAGCAAATAGCTGTGACAGTTATATAAAAGAAAGCCTTTTTTTGGAAATGAATACAAGGTTTTCTTTACTGCTTTTTGATAGAAATTAGAGTAGTAGACTTGGGAATCTTTTCCATTTTATTTATGAATTTATAGCTGATAATATGGGTCAAATTATAAAATTTGCTTTCACTCCTTGTCCTTAAAATCTGGAATAAAAAATAAGGATACTATATGTTCCAATTTATTGTTGATAATTTCACAGCTCTGCAGGGGAGGGGGAAAAAACAGGTCTGTGTAGCTTTTTTATTTGCTCCATGTAGTGCTACAGCCCTGAATAGGTTCAAGTGATCTTCATTTAAATTATATATAAAAAAGCTTTCTGCTATTTCCTTCCAACTATTTGATTTACCCTAGACCTTTTTGATGGGTGTCTTCTGTTTATCTTGGGGGTTCCTAATATGTACCCTCCATTCCCAGCCCTCCCTGCCATGTGATAGATACAAACAAGTGGTTAGTACACTGTGGTTGATGACAATGGAGCAGGGAGGAGTAGAAATGTTACAATTGGTTTTTTTATTTTAGTATTGACATTAAGGATAAGGAGCCTAACATTTACACGGCTAGCTTGATGTTTCAGCTCTTTTCTCATCTAATCTTTACAAGAACTTGAGATTTGTAGTGGTATTCCCACTTTAGTTTGTGTAACACTGTCTCCTTTCCCCTTAGGTATTTTTTTGTCCCCTTATGTATTTTCAGAGAACTTAAAACATTTTTAACTCCCTTGTTTACTAGTATTATGCTCACACTTTACCATGTTTAAAAATGGGGTTGGCGCACAGCATAGTTATAGAATTGAGGAAGCGAAGTATATTTTGAAGAAGATTCAGAAAAGTGTACTTTTTAAGGGAGTTTAAACTCAAAATATGTAATCTTTTTTTTTTTCTGATTTTTGGAAAAAAGTTTCTGTGACTATGCTTGCTAGTATAGTAAAAATTTGTTGTTGCAAGTTAAGTGTATAGTGGGAAATAGTTCAGTAATATTTTTCCATTAACTCATATGTTACAAAGTGCAGAAATAAAAAAGGAATCTGAATTACAGGATTAGGAACAAGGATGTTTTAGAATGTTTCCTTAAAATTAATTTGGCTTTTAAAGGGATTTATCTTTGGGCTGAGCCCGACAAAACTTTCTCTGACAAATTTAAAGTTATCTTTGAAGCATTGAATTGTCAAATGCCACATACTTTATAAGGTAACACAATTTAGCTGTAAGCATAATGTTCAAAATATGAAGTGCTTAGCTTTTATGACTTGCTTAAAAAACAAGCGAACATTGGCTTGAAACCAGAAATGTGCCAGGGATTTTTAAAGTTAAGAATATAGATCTTTAATCTGTAAATTGTGGATAAGTTTCAGTCTGAAAATCTGATCTTATGCATAAGTCTAGGAAGCAGTCCGGAGAAGGCAGTGGCACCCCACTCCAGTACTCTTGCCTGGAAAATCCCATGGATGAAGGAGCCTGGTAGGCTGCGGTCCATGGGGTCGCTAAGAGTCGAGGACACGACTGAGTGACTTCACTTTCACTTTTCATTTTCACACATTGGAGAAGGAAATGGCAACCCACTCCAGTGTTCTTGCCTGGAGAATCCCAGGGACGGGGGAGCCTGGTGGGCTGCCGTGTGTGGGATCACAGAGTCGGACACGACTGAAGTGACTTAGCAGCAGTAGCAGGAAGCAGTCATGATTGGCATGTCTTCCTGCCTGCCAAACTTCCCGCCCCCTTTTCTCAAAGAGGCTTTATGGCCTCCCCACCCCATTTTCACATTCACTGTTGGAGGATCTTTTGTGTGTGGTAAATTCCTCTTAATTATCATAGTTAAGTGAGATTGAGGCTCAGGAATTGATATTTAAGTGCCCTCTGTGCTGGTTTTGTGAGAAAACTTTAATTTCCAGTTAAGCATCATCGTGATGAAAGTTGAATCCCATGGCCACTAATGTCAGTTCTGAAATGATGAAAGAATATTGTCCAGATTGGAATATGGGATTCTCTAAGGGTCAGTGCTTGACCTGAGCAGTTAATTCCAAAAGAGTTATCATCATGACAAGGTATTGTAGTTGCTGCTGCTTAGAGATGGTGGCATTTACTTGCTATGATCGTTTATAGAGCCCTCACCTCAGTTGGAAGGGTCTCCTGTTCTTCTCTTTAAATCTGTGGAATCATGTTAGGACCACAACTGATTACTGGAATGCAGCAGTTTTATGTGAGTTGCATATCTGTACTCAGTTCTTAAGAATGCTCCTGTATGGAGGTCAGTATGGTAGGTTTTTTTTTTTTTAAGAAGGAAAATACAAAAGCGGTTCATAACCCTTTCTTAGAAAATAACTTAATTGGCGAGGTTGCTTTAGCAATATAGGAACTCTCAATATGTGGAAAATATAAGAATTCTTAGATTAAGAATATAAGAATCTGTTATGCTAGTGTCTGTAAAATTATTGCAGATTAATTTTTGGATTTACCTTGGTCCTTAAATTCTTTACTCATCTGTAGGACCTCTAAATCCTTAGTGTCTTGTTCTTAGGATCCTTTGGTTGTTGGACAGCTCACCCTTTAAACTGTTTCAGGCTGTAGACTTTTCTAGAGGCACTTAACACCCAGTATATTTTCCTCTTCTCTGCCTTGTCTTTACACCAGTAGTGAAATCCCTTCTTTGTCTTATTCCATTTCCAAGTTTGTATCCAGGGTGTTCATTTGCCTAACTAGAGGACTTATAATCTTTCCACTAATATCTAGTAGTAGGCATCGGATGGTAGAGGACAGTGGGAAAGGTAGTGGGAATAATAAAAGCATGTGAAATTTGATTTTATATTTTCCCCTTGCAGTTCAGGAAGGGGAATTTATGTGAAGCAGCTATAGAACATTGCCTTTTTCTTTGATTTTCATGTATCAGAGAATGTCTCTCTTTCTCTTCTGTTTTAACTTTCCAGTGGGAGTTTTGGTTAAGTGTAACAATTAGATTTTTTTGGTTTCTGCTTTGTGGAAATCTCTTATTAAAGATGTAGCAGACTTAGTGTTAGAAAGGAAGCCCTCACTGCCTCCTCCCTGCTCCAGTGTGTAGGTTAGGGATTCGCAGCCTGGGCTTTGCTCATGTTTTGGGCTGGATAATTATTTGCTGTGAGGAGCTGCCTTGTGCATTGCACGATGTTTAGCAGCAGCCCTGGTCTCTACCCACTAGGTTCCCTTGTTGTGACAACCAGAAATGTCTCCAGATATTACCAGATGTCCTTTGGGGGCCAAAATCGACCATGGTTGAGAATCACTGATTCAGGTCCCCTGTTACACTGTCTTAAAACACTGTTTTTCCTTCTAATGATGGCTACAGTTTTAAGTAATTAGGAGTAATTTTTCTCACCAGATTATAAGTTCCATGAGGACAGTGACCACATAACTTCATTGCTTCATATCCTTGGTACATAGCATAATGCCTTAGTATGTGCTAAATAAAGATTTCTCAAATGCATGGATTGATGATATAGTAGGTAGCTGAATGACTTGAGTCAAGGCAGTTAACATTTTTGAACATTTGGTTTACTCTGGTGGAAAATAAATGATTTGAG